CCCCCCCCCCAAAAAAAAAGAGAGAGAGAGATAGAGAGAGAGGAGGAGGAGAACAAAATAAACACATGTTCTTTTTCCTCAAAAAAAAAAAAAAATCAAAACAGCCATGTTCTAATTTGGTTAGAACTGTAAAAAATGAAATTTCAATTATCAATTCTTGCTGGTATGTCTTCATTTTAAGTTAAAAAAACAAAACAAACGCATTATCTGATTACGGATTTCTTGTTCCTCAGAACAGAAAAGAAAAAAGGCCTTCTTTTGGTCAAAGCGTGATTCTTTCACTGGCTTGTATCTTGTTTGTTGCGTTAAAATGGAAAATCTTATACAATGCAGTAAACTTTACACTCTGGAGGACCCATCAGAAAACTACAGTAAAACATAAGCCGTCCACTGCAACCACCAACCAGATTTTCAATAGTTGTCATAAATCTCCCTCTTTTCGAAGTGCTTAAACATTCGGGGTGCAGAAGAAATCCTGACATCTTGATCCTTTTCAATATAGAAACCAACCACGCCAGAAAAATATGAAGTTGGGTATTATGGAGAATCACTCTCAGTAATCAAGAACCTAAGTTAAAATTTGAGGTTCCAGAAACATATGCTCAAGTCTTTTCCATGATCAAAAGTAGAATGATTCACAGAGACAGAAACTTACCTCAAGCTGACTAAGCATCTCAATTGTCACATTCAAATCACATCCATTTGCATAGTGCATCTCTGCAAGGCTCTCAGAAGAAAAGCTAGGAAATTGTGATGATAAAAACTCCACCTGCTCAATTGCAGTATGCTCTTTGACAGCCTGGTCATCTAGCATGTTATTCAGAAAATTAGCACTGGATTCTCCATTGTAGTGTTGCTCTTCCATTCTCCTCATTCCTCGAGTAAATTGTTGACCTCCATTTATAAATTGTTTGCCCCAGGAATTGGTAACTGAAGCAAAGCGAGCAGACGGTGACTGATCAGAGCCAGAATATCCCATGTTCCCACTCAATAAGAGATCATTGGTATTAATAGTAGTTCTACCATGCCGTGTACCGAATCTCTCATGCACTGATACAGAAAATGATGTTGGTTCATGTATTGATAAACCTGCAAGTGAGCGGTGTCCTAGGCTTGGTACTTCATCTTCTCCCATGGCCTTGAAGTCAGGAGTAATATCATCAGGAAGCTGACGGCACAAGTACTGGTGTTCATCATCAGAGTTATTTGAAATAGAGGATTCGGAGCGTCCAAGAATTACTTTCCCTGAGGTTTGTGCAGAATCTACTCTGCTAGAATCTGCACCCTTGGTTTCGTGTGTGGATCGGAGAGCAGATGGAACAAACTCTGCTGCATTAGGATTTAATGTTGTAAACTTGCTTGATGCTACCTTGCTCTTCTCCAGACCTTTATGTGCGAAACTCATCCTTATTTGTATAGTATGTGTTGCAATGAGCAGCCTCCTAAGAAAAGTAACAATGTACAGGGAGGATTTATCCCAACCCTGCAGATTATAGGTGAAATATAGGAACCAAAGAGTTAAAATAGCTAAAAGCATTTAGATAAACTGAGATCCAAATTGCAATTATGTAATTGACATAAGATATTCAGCAAAACCATGTGGTCAATTCATGGAGGCCTAAGGTATTACTTTAAAAGCTGATAACAGACCCAAAAACAAATAACAAGGAAAAAGAATAAGGAAAAAGATCAACAATGACACATCTGCAAGACAAGCGTTCAGAACTACTACCAAATATAGATTAGTCCTCTTACAAAGATGCCCCTAATGACTTTAAGCCATTAGGCAAAAAGTAGAAACCTGATAACTTTGACACCAAAGTTTACAAAATTGCTTGGTTTTAGCGAACTTCTATCTTTGGGCGCTAGTCTGCAGTAATGAGAACAAATCCGTGTCCTAGTACACTTGTTTATTGTTGTTGGTACCTAAAAGATGCTTCACAAAGGACAAACTCCATACACAACACCACATGGCACACATGAATATATACTCATGTTCGTCTCAACTAATCTATATTACCTGGGTACTTCTAATGTGGAGCCGTACCCGCATACCCGTACCCATACCGACACTTCTCGGGAAGTCCTTAAACGTATGCATATATTTATTAAGACCTGTACTCAATTATACAATGCATGTTTAATTTAAAACACTCGTCTTCCACTCTTGGATATATCCTACAGTTCACATCAATTTTTGTAACTTGTTGGATAAGGGTCGAGTTTGTTTCAACCGTAAGAGCTATGATTTAAAGGGTCTTTAGTCTTTACGTATATAGCTCAAAACTATGATTAGATTCCATGATTTTCAGCAATGTCCCTGTACACGACCTTTTACAAATTTGACGTGTCCTGTACCCATATCACCCGCGCCTGTGCAACTTATCTACTAATCGTAAGCTAAGTTTTAAGCTCATGATTTTAGAAGTTATTATATATATTTATGGTATTGAAAAAAATGGTAACCTTAATCGTAATGTTCCACTTAAATGACTATGCATTGGAGTTTAAGCTAGGGCCCAATTGAAAAAACTCTGATGACAATTCTTGAATCTGTTACCTGTCACCTGATAAGCTAAGATTTAATGTCATTTACCACAGAAATCCCTTTGGAAAAAAAGTTCCTAATCTATTACATGTAGATATATTAAGTTTGAGTAGTATCTTCTGCAACACATGCAACTGGAAGCAAGATCAGGAGTTTAACATCGCTTACACATAAAACTACAAAATAGGAACCTTCCTATGAGTTTATGACAGTCTAAGAACAAGAAAACCATATGCACTTATTCTTTATAGTCATTTTTAAGGAACTCTTCATCCACTGAATCATGCACAAGGTCTATAACACCAGGCATTAGACATCATATGTGATCAAAGGATAAAGGGAACGCCCACCGATAATCAATCACAAAAAAAAAATATTCTGCAGGTTATAAGTAGGTAAAGGAAAAAATTTCACCATTCAGACGCGTGCATGCATGGGCACACAGCTGCATGTGCATGCAGATACACATATACATGTATGTATGTGTCTGGAGTCATCAGTTTGATGCAAATACTATTCCATAATATGCTACCATGTGATCACTGATGAATATGTGCACCAGTTGGTGGGAACAGATGATTAGTCTCTTACAAACGACAAAAAATGTAATTCTCCCATCTTTCTATTTCTTTTGAGATTTAGGATGTCCTTGATTTTGTTATCAAATTCCATATAAACGATTATTAACCAAAATCTATATTTATTTATTTATTTATTTATTTATTTATTTGTTCTCTCCACTTTCTAAATCACAATTCATGCATGTACAGCTGCATTCTTCTTAACTAAATATCAAAATTCAGAAAGAACTCAGAATAATGGCATCAGACAAGGACCAACCACACAGGAATGCACCTTATTAATCTCCAAATCATTTTATTCATGACTAAGCTTTGAGCTAAACTAATCAGAAGTAACACAGAACAATCCTATGAAAAATTGCAGCTTTAGCATGAATTCTAATGAAGCCCAATGAGCAGAACTTGACACCACTTCAAGAGCTAACATTTGGAACAGCTATGAAACTCACCAACTTCAAAAACTAATACGCTCCAAAAATCGTAAACTAGTAACCATCTATAGCTCAAATTCAAATGCTTTTCATTATTGATTAATTAACGAAATTTTCCATCGCCCAGACTTCCAGTTATTGTCTCAGAAAAAATTTCACCTGCTAAAGCTCACATCAAATCACTCAGTATCTTACCTGAAAGAAGAAAGATCAAAGGAATCAGCTAGATCCCCAATCTCAAACACAAAAACTTCCATCTTGACCACTAAGATTCACAAAAAAAAAGTCCAAAAACTATAATTACCAAACGAATCCCAATAAGATCGATAGAGTTCGACACGAAAACAACTAGATCTGAGGCGAAACGAATGATTACATACGAATGATTATACCTTTCCGACGATCAATGAGAGGATACATCGAAGTCTGAGCTTCGAAATTCTTCCAAATTCGGAGCTGGTTTCGGCAGTCCACGGATTTGATCTTTTTTCCTCCTCCTTTTTTAAAAACCCTAACCCTAATTTTGTTGCTGCGGTTGATCGACGCCAGTCTCCATCTCGACCACAGAAGAAAGCTTGGCGCTCGATTGCAATCTCTGTTGACTCCTCGGCTTTACGAGAGGATGGATGGATTTATAGCGCTGTAATAATGTGATAGGACCCCGGCGCCTTTTAAGAGAGATTCTTGATCAGCTGTGTTGTTTTGAACAGAAAACGCCATTTTATATTTACGTGGCTTGTTGATAAGCTCAGTTTGCAGCTTTTTGCTGCCTGGAGCCGTCACCAGATCGCTCGGTGGTCCCCACGCGCACGATGGAGGACTTGTCCTGTTCGAGCCACTTGGAGATCGGAGATCTCACGGCGGGGTTTTGGCGTGGATCGGGTCTGGGCCCCAAAGGTTCGTGGCCCAGCCCAGTGGCTATACGCATTTATATATAGAATAGCGTGTGAATCAAGAATATAAAATTCGTATTATGATTGCTAGTTACTGCTGGAAAATTGGCGAGAACAAAAGCACGTGTTGGCCTCTAATACTCACGAATTTATTGTTAAAATATGTGCATGTGTATCAAGCTACCAGATTTTTAGTTTTTTCTATTATTGATCGAGAGGTTTGGAATCTACGTGTACTTTCGGATATAAATCATGCTGTAAATTTGTCGATGCAAAAGGATCAAACTAACTCAGACATTACGTTCACCTTCTAATTTTTATACGAATTTAGATCCTATTCATTATAATTAAAAAAAATAAAGAGACCATTATTTTTAATCACAACACTGATTATATAGCGGGTGGGTGATCGTGAATTTAATACTCACTGATTCCTTATAAATTGCATTCATTCTTAATTTGTATTCAAAAAAAATCATAATCACTTATTAAAGAATCAACGATTGTGATTACGTAGTTTTTCCTCAACTATCTTTAGTAGTAGGAGGTTAATTGTTAGTTGTGAAATTTTGGGAGTCGATCAATAAAGAAAATAAAAGCATAATGCTAACTCCTTCAACTTCACGTGTCAATTGAAATAAAGCATCAAAGAAATTCATTTACCAACGATTGAAGCTGTGGACTGCCCTCTTATTATTAGCCAAAACGGCCCTTCTATTTCTTCATATAATTTTCAATGTCACACGGGCATTGGTTGTCTGGGCGGAGCTAGGTGTGTAAGTTTGGGGGGCTAGGCCCTCCCAAACTTGATTTTGTAATTTGAATATATGTATGGTAATTATAATCGACAACTTAAATATTTATACATATAGATTGGGTAGCCTTCTTGCAAATTAGCTTAAATTGCACTTGAACACCCTATCATTTCCCCTACTTTGCACTTAGATACACTTTGCACTTAGCTACCCCTCTTTGTTTTTCTATATATATATGTATATATTTATACACGCACGTACGCACGCACACGTATGTATGTACCTAAAATACATCTTTGTAAATGCTTCACCATATTTTCAATCCCTCGTGGTCACATTCTTCTCCACTGCATCATATTCTTTCACATAGAGATATCCTAATTCCATACCATGAGGGTGTGGAAAGAATGGGTAAGGTCGAGGGAATGGCTACAAATATCAAATCTTTTTTTTTTTTGCCAGTAAGAAATGTTAAATCTAGAGACACCGTACATGTTACTAATAAAACATTTCTCCATGGTATTCCATCAAACACATGGAATGCAGTTTTTCGCACCTTAAATTGTAAGTGACCGTATCAAGGAGCACCAAATTAAAGTAGAAGGTGGAACAAAATAGAAAATTTAAAATAGAGATGAGAAGGACAGCAAAGGAAATGGAGAATGAAAAAAAATTCAAGAAGAGAGAGGGAGGTTGTCGAGAGAGTTGAAGTTGAAAAGGAGCTGAGGATGTTAGGGGAGGAGGAGGGTACATGGAGAGGGTGAGGAAGGCCCATAAAAACAAGAAGAGGAAGAGGAAATGGTGAGAGGATAGAGAGGGGTGCAGGGTGGAGATGAGAGCTAATTTTGTTGCTGCGGTTGATCGACGCCAGTCTCCATCTCGACCACAGAAGAAAGCTTGGCGCTCGATTGCAATCTCTGTTGACTCCTCGGCTTTACGAGAGGATGGATGGATTTATAGCGCTGTAATAATGTGATAGGACCCCGGCGCCTTTTAAGAGAGATTCTTGATCAGCTGTGTTGTTTTGAACAGAAAACGCCATTTTATATTTACGTGGCTTGTTGATAAGCTCAGTTTGCAGCTTTTTGCTGCCTGGAGCCGTCACCAGATCGCTCGGTGGTCCCCACGCGCACGATGGAGGACTTGTCCTGTTCGAGCCACTTGGAGATCGGAGATCTCACGGCA